GATGGAATGGGATGGGATGGGATGGGATGGGGTGGGATGGGATGGGGATGGGGATGGGGATGGGATGGGATGGGATGGATGGGATGGGATGGATCAGATGGGGTGGGATGGGATGGGGATGGGGTGGGATGGGATGGGGATGGGGTGGGATGGGATGGGATGGGATGGATCAGATGGGGTGGGATGGGATGGGATGGGGATGGGGTGGGATGGGATGGGATGGGCTAGGGATGGGCTAGGATAGGGATATCCCAGGACAGGGGTGTCCCAGCACAGGGATATCCCAGCACAGTGACATCCCAGCACAGGAATTGTCCCAGCACAGGGGTGTCCCAGCACAGGGATATCCCAGGACAGGGCTGTCCCAAGCCAGGGATGTCCCTTCCAACCCTCCCATCCCGTTATTCCATGCAGTGACTCTTTGGAGCTCGGGGGATTCACTGGAGAGGGTCAGCAACACCCCTCCCCAACATTCCCAATATTCCCAACATTCCCAACATTCCCAAGCCCGGGACACTCACTGTGGGCCTGGATCACGGCTTCCAGGGAGCGCACGGCGTTGGGATTGGGCTTCTGCCTCAGGCTCTCCTCGGGAAGGGGATCCAGCTGGGAAGGGGGAGATTTGACATCCTTCCTGGCTTTTATAGCTTCTAGATATTTCACAGCTTTTACATCTTTTATGTCTTTCAAGTATTTTACACCTTTTATATATTTCATATCTTTTACATCTTTCATATCTTTTATATCTTTCATATCTTTTATATCTTTCATATCTTTTATATATTTTATATATTTCATATATTTTATATATTTTATTTTATACCTTTCATATCTTTTATATATTTTGTATCTTTTCTATATTTTATACATTCCATATCCTATCTTTCATATTGTTTATACATTGCATGTTCTATGATGTCTCAGGACAGGGATATCCCAGCACAGGGGTGTCCAAAGACAGGGATATTCCAGGATAGGGGTGTCCCAAGACAGGGATATTCCAGGACAGGGATATCCCAGCACAGGGGCATCCTAAGATTGGGATATCCCAAGA